GATGACCGGCCACACTTATGGAGACCCATGAACTGTGGACTAATAGCTATGGAGCCCCCATAGGACTAGACTAGACCCTCTGAATACAGGAGACAATTGTTTAGCTCAAACTGTATGGAGGGCCCCCAGGCAGGGGGGTTGGATCCATCCCTGATGCATGGGCAGGCTTTTTGGAACCCAGTACCTAGGGTGTGACACCTTGCACAGCCTTGGTGCAGGGGGGAGGGGCTTGGACCTGCCTCACCTGAGTGTGCCAGGCTCTGCTGACTCCCCATGGGAGGCCTTGATTTGGAAAATGTGGAGATAGGGAGTGGGTTGAGGGGTGGGAAGAGGGAAGAAGGGGGGTCTGTGGTTGGTATGTAAAGTGAATAGAAAATTTCTTAATAAAAAAAATGAAAAGAAAAAGCTGGCAAGGAAGAAGCCAAACTAAGGCCAGGCATTTATAATTAAGAATAAGTCACCATGTGTGATTTAGTTCAGAGCTGGGTGGTGGGCCCCAGAAAAGAACAACAACAACAACACACACACATACATAAACACATGCACATATGCGCTCATGCGCGCGCGCGCGCGCGCACGCACACACACACACACACACACACACACACACACACACACACACTACACCTTAAGGCTTGTTGTACTAATGAACTCACAGTAGTTACAGTTACCTGCATGAGACCTGCACAGCCAACAAAAGCAGTGTGCATGGGGAGGAGCTCCCGAGGTACTGAGGAGCTACAGGGATTTAACGGCTACTGGGCAAAGTAGAATCATTTTTCCTCACAGATATGGCCTCTGATAGGTTGCCCAGGCTCATTCAAGCTGCATTAATGAGACTCACTGGATTATAAAAGAAGGTGACATGATGACGTAGGGAGCACTTGTTGGAGAATCTAGGGGAGAGTAGAAAGGAAGTTGCGGGATAGATATGACCAAGATTGGCACTGTGTGTTTATAAAAAATGTTAGAGTCATTAACACTAAGCATGTTTGAAAAAGCCATAAGGAATTATATTATTTTAGATTTACCTAAAATTACATGTGACACATATAAGCATATGTGTATAAGTAAATAGTTTCAATTAAGTTATGTTGCTTGGACTGACAATTACATTACAGAGTGATGTAGAAGGTGGGAAGGAACGGGGAAAGAGAAGGGAAGGACTTTGGTGTTTGCAGGTAGGACCTGTGATTTTAAAGAAGGTGGCTGGAAGGGCTTTCTGAGGAATGTGGGGAAGCTGTCTAAGGAGCTGACACCACTCCACCAAAGCATATTGTATCCCAGAACAAGTACAACTGACAGATGCTAGCCAGGAGAGACAGGGGGAGATTCTTGGTTTTGAACAGAGAAGAGCTATTCTAACTTAGTGCAAAGCACCTCCCAATGAGGCAGCAGCTCTCTGAGACCCTGTCCACATGACGTGCAAGTTAGGATACTAGGGGATGTATCAATATACATTTCTTGGAAGTAGAATTGCTGGCACAAAATAGAAACACTTCAGAAGAGGATGTCCTTTTAAAGTATTTCCTTCCTAAAGCTACTACTACTTGATGGATGCATTTTAACTGAACAATTTTAATGTATTATAATGCATTTTTATCTTCAATATACAATGATAAAACAAGCCACATGCAACTGCTAATTTCCTTGGTAATGCCACAGGCTTTTATTATAATTACAATAAACAGACGGAATCTTTGTCTAACTTTACTAAAAGAAAGATGGCTACAATTCGGTTTCACCACTTCCAAATGAACTTGCTTTCTTTCTCTCCCTAAACATTTACCAGCTCACAGGAATAAAATAAAAGGGAAGTCCTTATAAAGCTGGTCTGTGCCTGCACTGGCTGACAAATCATTTATCTTCTCCTGCCCTTCAACTTGAGTCCACAGTGATGCTCAAAAAGTCCCCTTCTCCCCCAGTGGCCTGACCTTCGATGTGGCAGCAGCCTCTAGGTTATTTTTTTCAACATTTCTCTCTCTCTCTCTCTCTCTCTCTCTCTCTCTCTCTCTCTCTCTCTCTCTGAAAGAGTAGTCAGTGCTTTTAACCTCTGAGCCATTTCTCCAGACCCCAAGACTACTTTTGAAAGTAGGCCTTCCACACTGAGAGTCCTGTGGCCTGAGAAGGTTCCCAATGTTCCAGTGGTGGGTTTGAAGGGTAAAGAATCCTGGGACTTTCTCTGAGCCAAGAAACAAACAGTTATTTAGCAAGACCAAGTAACTTCTGCTTATTTATTTTTCTCACAGAAAAAAATAACCTAGACAAGGGCCATACAAAGAGGTATTTTAAGAAGACATACCAAGAATATTTGCAATATTATTTTATGGCTTTTAGAAGCTTTATCAAGTGATCAAAAAAATCTATCTTCATTAAAACTTCCTTAGTTTAAAATGAAATCTCCAGTTTAAAAAATATATTAGTACACAAGATAGTATTTCAACATAAAAATTTCTAAACCGCTAATACCCTTAATGACTTATTGATTTGATTATACAAAAATAATAATACTTTCATCAAATTAATTGGGTCTTTGACCTCTGAATCATCTTATATTATTTTGTAAACTTGTTAGAAATATTGAACATAACCAATAATAGTGATCATCACACCTGCACTCTCAGTCATAAGGATGCTAAGGAAGGAGTATCTTGAGTTAGATTGTTTGTTTGTTTCTGTTCATAACTGCTCCAGTGAGAATGTAGAGGTCAAACTCATATTATGGGGCTTGGCTGTAGGCATCAACACTCATTAAGCTATCTCATGGTCTACGATCTTGAATGTGAAGTCAGCTAGAAGGAGGGAAGGAAAAGAAGAAGTAGGGCTAGTACAGGAAAGCAAACAATGGAAAGGAAAGGATTGACCAGTTAAATAGAGAAAATTCATGTCGGATTATGTATACAAATATGTATGTAAATAAGAATCAGAGGTGGTATTGAATTACATCTAGTCACTAGAGACATCAACACAATGTATTAATGATTCTACAGTAGACTTCTGTTTGAAGCTACCTTCCCAAAACATGTGCGATAAGACTTGATAACAAGCAATGAGAGAGACTTCATTCTTGTTTTCATTCTCCTTCTCAGGCAAATATGAGTGAAAATGGAAATCTAAGAGATTGGATGTGAGAGACACAAACGGGAAAAATAATCTAGATAATTTGCAAAATTTTAATATTCCAGTTGCTTCAACTTTAGATAAGGGCTGGCTATAACTGTTAGAAAATAAAAACATTTTGCAGTGTTTCAAATCCCAGCAGCATTTCAGATGTATTGCAATTGTCAGGAATATACATCACCTTCACAGGCATTACACCTGTGAGAGTAAGAAGTTCCTGGTTTAATTAGTGATTCAGAGCCTTGGGTGGCCCACGGAGCAGGTGCAGATACCTCTTCCCCAGTGTTGTTCCTGTCATGACAGTTGATACTTTATTATGCATCCAGAAGCCACTGCACATCTGGATATCAGAGCCATGATGTCAGAGCTATGATGTCAGAACAATGATATCAGTTATTTGATGCTTTACAGAAGTTTCTGGGAAGGACTCTTAGCCTCCCACATACCCAACCAATTGTTAGTTACAATGTCTATAGGGCTGTCTGCTTTACTCTTTCCAGATCAACGATAAATATTCCCACATGAATATTATCCTCATCATTCTCTATCTTCCAAATCCTATTTTATTTATCATATTGTTTGTAAATTGTTTCTCAGTTGCCTCTATTAGGAAGAAATCTCTGTGAGGGCAAAGATCCTATTAGTTTTGTTCACTGTCACAGATTTAGAACATAGATGGCAGCCCCTCAGCAAATATTTGTTTAATAAATGAACAAATAGGAAAAGAACAGTCTGTATAGAAGAGCTTGCGTGCCTTTTAGATATGTTGACATTAAAGGACATGGAGATATAGGTCAAAGGTGAAAAAAGAGACAGAGTCACTGATAGTCCTGTTGTGAGTGCAAGTAACTGAAAGGGTAGGGGTGAGTGGATTCATTCATTAAACAAAAGGCACTTGAAGACAATAAGACCTGGTTAAGAGGTTCACAGAACACTGGTTTTTAATGGAAAGCACAGAAAAGAATTCAATTAAATGGATAGTGAAGAGAGATTTCCTAAGGCTGTAACTCCATGGAGACAGGTGCTTAGTGGAGCCCAAATCTGCAGGGAGGAACCACCTCTGAGAGAAGCGAGAAGTTCAAAAGGAAGTCGGCAATGACCTGATAAAGACAAATGCTGTGGACCGGTGAGGAGAAGCCAGGCTGCATGACCTTCACATACGAATTAAACATGGCAGCAAGAGTGGAAAGAGTGAGGCCACAGCCACCTATATGTCACCTGAATGTCAAGAAAATACCCGGACCACTTGTTGGATAAACAAGTACATAGATGGGTGGGTAGACAGGATTTTCTAATCAGGACCAAGATGAGGAATAGATTGTGGCTGAAGTCAGAGGACTGGAATGATAAACAAACCATGTTTAAACAGTATACTCCCCCAATCAAATACAATTTCCTGAGTGATTTTTCTCTTAATAAGCATATATAGTGTGTTTAGTGAACCCTGGGTTGTTCCCAGTTGTTTATTTTTGTTTAAGTACATTCTTGTTTAATGGAGCCTTTTAAATGTTACCTTGAAATAACTTTGTTTGAGTGAGGCCTAGGACTTGTTCTTTGGATCTGAGCCTTTGCTGTATTCCATAGATCCCACTTGCCAACTATGCCCGAGGTAACTTGGATGCATCAAAGAGTGTGACCTGAGTTGAACTTATTGTGGCCTCCCAAGGAAGGTGGCAGTGGTAAGCACAGAGGAGGCTCCACTCTGCCTTCCAGCATGTGGGTGATCAGTCACATGAAGTAATGCTATCCTTAGGGGAGTTTAAACATGAAATTAGGATTAGCTTTCTTACAAACCCAACTAATTGGTGGTTCTCAAAATCAACCACACAGACAAATCACCCAAAAGACAATGGCCACAGAAACTACCTGGTGATACTCACAGTTTCCGGGTCAGTGGTCCTACGGTAGAGCCAGAGAATTGGCCAGATGGTGTTGAGTGCAAATCACACTTTAAGAACCACTGATCTAGGCAAAATGTAACATATATTTTCATGACTTCTTTCCCTAGTTTTCTCTTTTTCCTCATAGAAAATGAGCTAAATTCTCATTTCAGCAATTTTCTTCACACAGACAAATTTCCCTCGAGCAAAAAATTAAAAATAAAATAAAACAAATCAAAACACTGTAGACAGTAATTGTGTTAGCAGTCACTATCCTTGACTTTCCAGCCTTCTACCCATTTTTAAGAGGAATGAAGATTCTAGACCGTATCAACAGATATTAGTGCCTCAAATGAAATTCGGCTAATACAATATAGCTGCCTTGCACCAATGAGTACTTCTCTTTCAACTGTGAAATGCTCATCAGTGAAACATGCTTCTCCATTAAATTCTCTTAAAATTTTCTAGAAAAGGGAGGTAGGACTGATAAAGGTATGGAAAAGATCAACATCCATGTGCCATGCAGATTAATTTTTCCCAGTTTAGAATTTGTTTTAAGCCAACAGGAAGAAAGGAGCATCTAGAACCAGACCGTCTAGAGGCAGAGTGCAGTGAGTCTATTGCCAGTTTTGTAACTGAATGACTTATCTTCCTTTGCTTAATGAACTGAAAGGAACTAGACAGAGGGCGGCCTCCTAAGTGGAGCATGAACTGACCTTGTGCAGAGCAGACAACTGGCTTGGTGACACTGTGAAGGAGTTTCTCACCTGCTCTACTCTGGAACAATTCCGAAGACTTTAGGACCACGCTGGTCGAAGCAGTGGTAGGAACAAAGTAATATCCGGAGAGGTATCAGATGTAGGTTTCTGCTTATCTTCCAGTTCTGAAAAGAAAGATGAGCAGTCAAATTAAGAAATTCCCAAGAAGTACAGTTAGGAGTGGATTACTTTGTTTAGTGTTTGAGAAAACTGAGGATGGGCTTACACTCCTGATTCTATTGCATCTACCTCCTAAATGCTAGGATCACAGGCAAGCATCAGTGAGCCTGGTTTGTCTAGTATTTTTGAGTAAAATATTCATTTTATCAGAAGTTTTAGAACATTGACTTCTAAATGACACACTACTCCATTTATAGCTAATTTGTTCTTTCATCACACATAAACAGAAAAGGTTAACCATCTGACATAGGCATATTTAACACTAAATAAAATTGATAACAATTTATATGTGCTTTTATCAACACACTAGAACATAGTCTGGCCATACAGTGCTAGGGATGCCAATGGAAATCATACACTCTGCATGACCTTGACTCCTGTTCGAAAGGGGTTTTCATTACCAAACAGCAAGTAATTACTGAATAACTTCTTGATTTTGCCTGTCTTGCATGCACTTCCTATATGAAAATTTCAATTTATTTGTTCATTTTCTGTAATGTTCTCTAAGATCATCATGGGCTGAGTCTCAATCAAGGTATTCAAGACATGACTCATCTTCAAGTATCTCTCATCTTACTTTTCCATGAAAAAAATAGGTAGTCAAAAACTCTGCCTGCCAACTTAGTGTACATATCTTAATCACAGCCTTGGCCTCTGAAAGGCCTTGTTTGATCCTCACCATGACTAAAAGGGGAGGCAGCAAAACCTCTAAAGTCAACATAGCTCTCATTGAAGAAATCCAAAGCAGAGATATATGACTTGAGATTTAATTGGTTAAAGATATTTATTGCTTTCATCATAAAATCCTCTTGCCAACATCATCACAAACCAAATGAGAGATGTGAATGCTGTTGTGCTCATTCTTCCACAGAAGAATTTTGAAATACTATTTAGATGTTTGAAAACATATCATCCACCCTCAAGAGTGACAGCCTTCTAATGTTGGCAATGTATGAGTGGGGAACTGAACTCAAAGGTCATACCATCAGCCCACCCTAACAGTGACTGGGAAGTGCTATCCTGATTACATAATATTTTGGATGTAGGCTAATATTTTCCCACATGTTAATCAATGAGTAGGTATTTATTGAACTCCCTGGTGAGCATCTCTATTTTGCCTGTTTGGTGCTTATTTCCCACATGGATGGCACAAGAACTCTTTTTTTTTTTTTTTTTTTTTTTGGACAATGAGTTCTTTTTTCTCCAACCTTGGTATATACATTGGGAGAGAGCCATCCATCCCACTGGCTGGCTCAGCCAGCATCAATGAACCTTCTGACAACTATGATTAGTGTATAAGCACATAGTACAGAACCAGCCAGAGAACATCAACTCTGGACTTCAGGACCACAGAAAAAGCAGCACTCCCTCTTCCGAAGGGCACTATTTAGGAAGTTCCTACATGAAAATAAAGGCAAGATGAAGAATAATAGAAAGTAATAAATATAAAAGGACAGATAATAATCAATAGATGACAAATTTGGGGTCCTGATCTAGGCATAGGTAACTATTTAGCCAGATCCATCCTTTACTACTTAAATTAATATGTGAGCTTTGTTTCTGTAACCTGCAACCAAGAATACAGATAAATTATAAGTAATCTAGAATTTATATGACATTAGGCAAAGTGCCAGGAATATAAAAATATGTAGCAAATAACCTCTGGCTCCAAGAATTTTCTGTGGATTTAGTTGGAAAGATAAGAAATAAACAGATATATAATAACTAAGAACATGTGGCTAAGCCAAGTAGTAAGTTTTGTAAGAACATAGAGAAAGGAGCCACCACTCCAGGCTGCATATTAAGGAAGAGTTTACAGCACACGGGAAAGGTGACCTGGTTTCAGAAGGATTTCTGAGGATATGGTTCACTGCAGAGGAGACAAAAGGACATTTCTAAAAGGGTGAACTTTATAACAGACGCTTAAAATGTACTTAGTGTATTTGGGAAACAAAACAAGGAAAGCAATAAATGAATCATAAACTATTGACTCACGTGCTATCAATATTAAATACACTAGAGCAGAAATAAAAAGGACTACTAGTTTTGTAATGACAGATGTGTAGAAGGTTTTAAGTCTACTCTGAGGTAATATCACTTTAGATTCTGTTAGTTCAATGTTGAAATGGTGGTATAAGATCAAATGGCAGAAGTCAAACTAAGTGTGCCTTTCATAAAGCAGATGAGCCTCCAGTCTAAAGGAAACAGTTATTTCTGCTCCATTATGGTATATTAAAAATAAACCAATGCCATGTCTATTTTAATCAGCACTTATTTGATATGCCAAAATAATTAATAGATCCATGAACCAAGGGATTATCAGAGAAACAATATAAATCAAGGAAGATATACTGTGAAGCTAACTAACTTGTTTTGTTGAAGTTTCTCCATGAAGTAAAAAGTTTATCATAGAAATTCTTAATGGTATTTCCTATTTCCACTGTGGTTTTTGCCTTTTCCCTCATGTCATTAGGAAACTGCCTGGGAAGAGTTTGGGTTGGCTCTTGCCAAAAGCAGGAATGCAAACTTTCTTTACCCCTTCTCAGGGGAAGTTATTTGTTTATTTATTTATAATAAAATGAATTATTTACAAGTTTATTGTGAAAATGCCATTGTTAGTTTTGCAGCAAACATGAACTTTGCTGTGTATTATTCTCTAGTCATTTCTATTTGTGATATAAAAATTCTCAGGAATATGAATTGGTTTCTGGAAATTATACTAAGCAAAACAAGTTGACATAATTTCTTGGAATTGTGGTCATTTTGTATACAGCCATCATCTTCTATACTGTTTTGTGAAAACAAAGAATTCTCTGTTTGCTTCCAATGAATGTTCATTTAAATTTCTCCCTCCATCTGTAGCATCACAGCAGCTCTTTTCACTGGTATGATATGTGCCATCTGAGGTGACCATGTTACAAAGGAACGACAGCATGCCTTCCTATAAATCACCCCTTTTCACCAATGTAAATTAACAAACCTTATCACTGTCAAAGAATAAAACACAAAATGTTACCATATAAGGGAGACAATACCCCTACTAGACAACTTAGGCCACCAAGTAAAACCTCCAGTGGCAGGAACAGGTAACATCTGTTGAGTCATTGGCCAAAGGGGTCCCATAGTTCCTCCAAATATCACAGGCTATCTCCAAGGATACTGTTTCTTTCCTGATGATAAGACCCTATTGCTGAAGACAACACTTGCTTATGCCATTGAACATGAACAATTAGCGCTGGTGCCTAACTAGAAGATTCCCCCCTATTGACTAATATTCATGGTGCTAGGAGTAATTCAGCATACTACCAGACGAGAACGGTAATCATCAATATTACCTAGCAAAACATGTGACCTACAGCAGTGACCTTCCTGTAAGATATGTTATTAGTAACCAGCCACTTTTAGATAGGAACCCATACCTGACACTGCTGAAGTGGCCAAGAACTTAAGACAAGATGGATCGTGAGCCTACTGAAAAACCTACTGCTATATTCTGCTAAAGGAATCAAGCAATAAAGTAACTCTTAGTGACATACTGAAATACCCAAATATCAGTCCTTCACTCAACCCTTGTCAGAGAAGCTTCTGCGAGCAGAGGATGGGAATTAGCATAGAGACCCACGACTGAACAGTGTGAAGAGAATGAGAGACTTTGGAGCACTCAGTCCTAAATGGGAGGTCTTCATCAAACTCCTTCCCTCCAGGCTTTGAGATCTTATAGAAAAGGAGGTAGAAAGAATGTAAGAGCCAGAGGTGGTGGACGATGTCAGGGAAACAGTGTCTTCCAGAAGCAACAGGATGTGTGCACATAGGAACTCACAGAGACTCAGACGCATGCCTAGGACTTGCACAGGTTCAAGCTAGATGGATCCCCAGAACTGACAGTGAGAAAGGACACTGGGTCCTGCTGCTAACCAAGAACACAAGGCAATTGATATCCACTGGGAAAGAGAAAGTCAGTTTTCTCCAATGAGTGTCACTGGGTAGATCAATCACACTCCAGGGCAGGCCACATGCCCAAGAGCGGCCAACACAAAACAAATCCCATGGTTTACTGGTGAGATTTTTGTTTCATTTTGTTTGTTTTGTTTTGGAATGTTTTGTCTTAGTTGTTTTTTGGTTGTTTGTTTTAAATTTTTGTTTGCTTATTTTTGAGAAAGAACATGAAGTTGAGTAGGTTGGGAAGTGAAGAGGATCTTGGAGGAGATGAAGGAAAAGATAAAACATCAAACTGTATTGTATGAAAAATAATTTAAAAAGAAACTAAAAATAAATAAAATAACACACAAAACAAAATATACTGTTTTGCCAACCCCAAGTCAGAGGAAAGTTTATGATTAGACATGGTTTTATTTTGAAAGGAAATCATTTTAGCAGAACAGTAAAATGTTATGATATCTAATGTTCCAGTCTTCACTATTTATAATGAGAAGTGTTATTTCCTAAGGCAAATAAATGTAATTATAACATCTTCCTATTTTAGAAAAAGTTTTCTACTTAAGTTCTATGTTCATTAAATGATAGTACTGGTTATACTTAAGAATCATTCAACATGTGGGTGAGTGATAACCACTGCCATATTTTAAACTTTAGGAACTCCAAGTCTAATGACATACACAATTATAAAATAAGTATCAAGTTAAGTTTGGGTTTAAATACAAAAAAAGAGTAAAATCACCTCTCATTTTCTCAAAACAAAAGTATCTCTTTAGATATGACCAACTCATGCACAGCCAAATTGCTAGAACCTCTTCTCTTTTACTATAAGCTCATAATTTTGTTGATCGTATTTTTGTGCTGGCTGGTCTTAGGCCAACATGACACACAAATGAGTTATCTGAAAAGAGAGAGCCTCAATGTAGAAGATGCCTCTATAAGATCCAGCTGTAAGGAATTGCCTCAAGTTGGAGGAGGGCCTAGTCCGTTGTGGGTGGTCTCATCTCTG